GAATTCTGGAAATATTAAAAATTAATTGTTGTTCTAATTTTTCTTGATTAAGTGATAATTCGAATAATTCAATAATTTGAATTGATCGTACGAATGAGTGAAATGACGATTTGCTGTTGAATTGGAATCTGGCTTGGATTTTTATCTGGAATTGTATCGCTCCCACAACTCTGATGTTAAATGTTTGAGCTGCGGTCAATACCGCATGAATGTCCATAAATTTCCACGGGCAAAATGTCTATCGCTGAGAGGCAGTGAAAGACGAGTAAATTGAATGGTTTGCCGATCTGGAATAAACTTTAGTTTATTCCCATCGCTGGTGGAAGTATTATCTCCGGTAAGTTGAAACGTATCGAGTGAAGCGACTCGATATATTGTCAGCCGTAACAAGCAAACGGAAAGTGCGGGTAGCAGATGGTTAAACGTCGATTGAAAAGGGAGAGAATGATACTACACTAGAGGTACGATAGTGACTTAAAGCAACAATCGAGTTGATTGTATACCCTCGTTGAATCTAAACAGCTGACGGTTTTTTTTTTTTGGTTCTTTGTGGGTGGTAACGATAATATTTTGCGGGGAGTTGAAATAACCGCGGGAATTCAGAAGCTCAAGGATTTCTTGGAATAATATTTCTGCAGAGAATCATTGTGGAGTCGAGGGGGGAGGGGAATGGCGAATGGAGCGACTTGAATTGAGTCATCACTTGATTCAAGTTTGACTTGACTCTCTTGATTTTAGTACGAATGCGGTTTTACGAAGTTTTCATTCGAGTTCCATTTTATCGTGGGGATGGATTTTCTACTTGACTCGAGTCAAGTTGAGTTACTTGAATCAAGTCGAAATGTTGAATCAAGTGGAGACTCACTTGAATCAAGTAAAAATTCCTGATGATAATAAAATGAGAAGTGAGTGAGTCTTTTACTCGATCAAGTCAATTTCTTAATTGAATCAAGTTCATTTTTTGGTGAAATTTTTATTTGAATCAAGTAAAAAAATCATTGCAGCCCGAATTTTGATTTGAGTCAAGTCAGTTTCCACTTGATTATTTTTTTCAAACAACCAAATGTTTTTTCATCCCTTTTTTCAAACACCCCGCGACTTTTACCATCAGTTTGTCCAATGGAAACATTAGCGAGTGCTCTCCAACAAATTTGATGACATTCCATTACACTTCGATCACTCCAGTACATAAAATCACTCAGCGCGAAAAACAAATTTACGACGAGATGTACATTGGAATAAAAAAGATTGATGCCACCTATTCCGTCAATTTTTTTTTCCGTCACCTGCTCCTAGCGCATTTACTCTCGGTACTTCAGAAATTATGACTAGCTACTGCGCCACCTCGCGGTGGCGTCCCCATACCAAAATTAAAAAACCTTCTTATAACCAACGAATATCGGAGCAATATAATATTTCATGGAATTTTATATTATAATTCCAGATTTTCGAATACAAAAAAAAATTGCATAGAATGATAATAATAAATAATAGAATGACGAAATCATCTCTAGAATAATTTGTTTTTTTTTTATTTCCTCCCCTTCGATATTGTCCAATTTCGGAGAATTCAGGGTAGATTTTTTATCCCCATTTTAATGGAACCTTTTGAATTCTATTGTTTCCGGTTGGGCCATTGTCCGCTAACGAATTACCTGATATCTCCCAGTTCATCAGTATTTTTATATACTTTTGTCTATCTCCGGGTAATATGTCAAAACGAATGAATGCAGCGGCCGAAAAAAAATCGAAACTGGACAAATGTAACGAGAATGGCAATACAAGCAGCCCCAACATTTTCACACAAAAGATTCTCGAAACAAAGTTTTCCATTGTATTCCAACTGACAATAACCTTTTGTTTCTGTTTTCGGCGGGGGGAATGCTTTGAAGTTGTTCTGATACAAATTGGTTTTAATCGTCTTTGAGCATTGCCACGCAGCAAACACAGGCCAAAGGACAAAATAAAAAAAAAAATGGCGACCACTGCATTCGTTACCTCAAAATCAAACCCGACCATTCAATGCAAACGAACCCCCGATTGAAAATAATCGATTGCACGTCTGAACATCACAAAGGAACAACAAATTTTACAACCGCAAATAATAACAATATTTATATAAATAATTTTCAATCCCCCAGCTAATCGATAGAATCATCCCCCATCGACTTGATTTCGCAAAAAAAAAAACAAACTTCACCCCAAGGAAAAAAAATGTTTAATTACTCTCCGTCACGCTCGCAAAACTAATAACAGAAATTGTCCCAAGCATCTGCGGAGATTCGCTACTTCCTTCCATTACGGAAGTCCGATGATTAAAGGGAAAATGAGTTTCTGAAAAGTTGGATGCTATTTTATATCTATTACCTGGAGGAACAACAGGAGTCAAGGCCCCTCGTTTCCTCTGATTCTCCTGGTGCATGTACGTGCCCAAGACCCACCCTCGATTTTTAGAAAAAAAAAATAAATAAATAAAAAGTCCTCTCTATCCAGTACTACTTCACTTATTCCCCTATCCCTTGTACAGTTTGGCCCACCGGGACTTACCGCTAGACAGAAAAGTTTTATCTCCAGAGTCGTAAAAAAAACGTACCGAAGAAGTACGATTGGATCGTTTTACAGCGGCCATTCTTTCATTCCGATCTTGTGACTCCAGTCAAAGGTATAAATTGGAAACTGAATGTTCTTTCGAAGATCAGATTGCCGGATAAGATTTTATACGCGTGACCCTTGTTATTTGCATAAAAATCGAAAACTTTGGAAATTTTCCATACCACCCCCTCCGCCCCCTCCGCCCCCTCCACCACCCCTCCCCACGACGACCGTAAAAATCTAGATTTCATCCAATATTCTTAAATTTTGCGGAGAGTATTATATTTAATATTGATGATAAATCGGTAGTGCAAGGAGTGGTGGTCTCAATTAACTGTGAAATCTTAATTATGAAATTGATTGAGTGAAGGCTCCTCGATTTATTTTTCGTTCCGCCATTTAGCGCTGATGAATTTTGATCTAATTAATCTCATCAAACATTCAAATGGTCTCACTGTTCCCGAGGAAAATCGATTAGATTCGTCTCGCTGGGGATTTAATCAACTCCGGGACACACGCGTCACCCCCAGTCATTTCTCAAAGTCCAAACTTCTGTAAACATGACGAACTCGGGAAGTTTATGAGTTCTAAACACTGTTTTCTCGGTCTTTACCCTCACGTCGGGATGACACTCCTTGCTTGCATACAATTTTCTTGACGGTCCCTCCGATTTTTTTTTAAATTTTTCTCCTACGAGTTAATGAGAATGAAAATGCCCCAAAAATTACCCAAAAAATTCTGCGAATTGCGTTTACCAATTGATTAATTTTCCGATAATTTTCTCTTCGGAATTTACGAGAATAAAAATGTCCGAAAATTGACCTAGAAACTTCCGCAAAAATTACATTTATTAATTGATTAATTTTTCTATATTTTTTTCTTCCGAATTCACGAGAATAAAAATGTCTGAAAATTGACCCGAAAAATTCCGTAAAAATTACGTTTATTAATTGGTCAATTTTCCCACAATTTTCGTAACGAATTCACGAGAATAAAAATATCCGAAAATTGACCCAGAAACTTCCGCAAAAATTACATTTACCAATTGATTAATTTCCTTGAATTTTCCCCCCGAATTAATGAAAATGAAAATGTCCCAAAATTCGCCCAAAAAATCCCGTTAAACTAGTGTCCATCAATCGATCAATCGAATTGATTGCCGTATCTGAATTTTCCAAAGCGATTGTAATCGACACAAACGTTCAATTGCAAACTAATTGACGACTATTGTTTCCTTGATATAAAGCACACGAATGGGTACTAGAGTTTCGCGTGTTTTTTCGACAAATTTCCAACAAGAATTGATCAATTATCACGAGGAGAAAGCAATCAATTGGACATGGGAACGGGAAAGGGAGGAACATGCCGTAAGCATTTATGGTTTTCCCGTTCACCCAAGCGTAATCATCCGAATCTGTTGCTATAGCCATAATTCGCTTCATTGAATCCCATCCTCCCCCGCCCCTCCCCTCGTGGGGTGACTAAAATTTCGACAAAATAAACTTCTGTCGAGTGGAAAATATATCTGATGATTTTCGCGGCGAAAATTAATTCAAAATCAAATATAAAACTAACAGCGAATTTTTGATAAAAAAAATTACGCTTATTGACTAATAAAAATAAATATCTATAAAAAAAAAATTGGCAAGTGGTATATCCATTTTTGGGACTTGGGACTTCAAGTTGATGCCCCAATTTCGTCATAACCCGGTCTGAATTTCTAGTAAGAGTGACTATTTTCATTCGGCATTTCTCGCTCCAACAATCATCGGCCATTGCATAATTACGCATTATATAATTACAGAGTTAAATACAAATTATCCAATTGCTTCCCGTCGATGGAATTGGGCTGGTATTTCCAGTACTGTGAATTTCTAGTTCACATTTGGAAGTTTCGTGGGCTATTTACGCTTGTGGAATAGCAGTTTCACCAAATGACTTTTAAGGAGTCGAGTAATTCCGCATTCCCAAGTGTCTTTATTCCCTCCCGAGGGACCTAATGAATGATTCACTACTTGAGAGAGTCATGAGCCGTAATACCAGGGACTTGAGGATCACTCCTTTCATCTAGTGGAGACAAGAGTTGCCCTTTGAGTCGTGAATGCCATTCTTCGCTCGAATTAGGAAATTGAAACGCATCTCTTAGACAATACCGGATGTTTCGGGTGATGAAGCGAAAGCCGAAATTCTCTCATTTCCGTGTGTTTACAAACTCGATTACATGGGCAAAATACAGATATATATTTCAAACCGCAGGGACATGTTTTCGTGAATGAAATATACGACTGAATGGCATCATCAATGCACCCGATGTTTTAGGAAGGGGATTATGAGTGCTTCTGGCCTCGATTCACAGTGGAAATGGATGGAGAATTTAAATTCAGGGGTGAATATTGATGTGATAGTACCTGTAGACACTGTCGTCGTATGATAAGAGGATTCTCAGTGGCTGACTGATGCTCCGTTTTTTCACCTCGTGAGGGGAATCCACGTGAACTCCATGCACCACCTGAAAACATATCAATTTTAGTTTTTTGAATTGATAGCTTTTGACAGAAAGTAGAAATACGACACGTACGCACCGAGTACGTGCTGGGAGTTTGCATTGCACACGACTATAACGAGTCCACAGTATCTCAAAAATGGCTTAAAAAAATTGTTCACTCGAGAGGAACAGGATGAAATTAACTGAGACTCATTTGAAATTCATAAATAATTTTTATAACGCTTTGAAAATGCGAGGTGAGAGCTAGATGGCGCCCCTGCTTTTTTATCGTTTCTTTTTGCTCCCAAAGGCTCTCAACCTCGTAAAATTTTTCTCATTACCACCGATATAGTCGAGCACATAGTCGAATTCTCCGAATTCGCTTTCCCTATAGCCCGCCACTACAACGTGAGCCTGGTGCATTTGAAAATGAGATAATCACAGGTACATCAGCGAATAACTCGAGGCTTTCCCACTCAAGATTGTTGACTGTACTTCTCCACGCAAGTTCTTGGTGGAAAGGAAGCCCAAGACTTGGTGGAGATGCGTAAATACCGAAGGAAGGTATCCAAGTTTCGTATGCTGTCCCTTTGAACCCACTGTTACACAAGCATACTAAGTAAAGTGTTTATGGTGGTGTAATCTAGACTATGTACATTAGCAACGCATATGTTCCTGCCATGTGCTTGCCTAAGCGTAACGCATCGGTTTATGTATACAAGAGAAAGCGATTATCAAAGTAGTCATGTGTCAGAATAGAGAGCTTTAGGTCTAAGGGATGAATGTTTGCGTGCCTACGATGCAAATTAAAGTTGTTGGATGTTCTCCAAATGTCGGTAATAAGCGCGAAAATCACTAGGATTATGGTACAATGGGAAATGTATATCGGGTGTACGTGACGAGCAACGACGGCTGCGAATATTACACCGGTGGAATAATTTTTTTTTATTTTACCACGAAATTATGACAATATGTCCTGTGATCAGTTGTCGAGGGGATGAAATTAATTTAGTCATTAATATTCCGCGTTCGATAACCATATGTTTGCTCAACGAATTACATGAACCACTCGACCATGTCAAATATCATTATTCTCACGTTCCATAATATCTCATTAATCTCGTTGACGATATTACCTTGAATTGGTGGCAATAATGATACAATCGTGATTATCATGATACTCTTGTTTCGAATTAAATTGCGGTGAGTGGAAAGGGATCTTATCGGAGCTTGACTTTCACGATCATTGAAATGGAAATTGTATTGGAAATGCTTTTACAGGATGAAGTGCTATTTTAAATCGTCACCACGAATTTACCGACATTAATGTTGGGTATCTGAATTAAAGCCGTCATCCATCAATCGACATTCAATTTTGGCAGACATTTTAGGCTACAAGTCAACGTGCCCCTGTCATCCGACATTCAACATTCCCCCCGACATTAAAATTCGCGAAATACGCAATGTCGCAATGCCGTCCGACATTAAACGTCGCAACTCGAAATTTAATGTTGTAAACGGCATTAAAGCTTCCACGCGGGTTTATCATCGCAATTTGCCGGTCAATGTTGTAATCCGACATTCACCGACATCATCCGTCATTCACCGTCAACCGTCGTATGCTACCGGAATCCCATCAATTCCGAATGATTAGAGCAAGCGAAAACATTTGAAGACTCACTAGCAATAGATAACTACCCGTTCCGAAAAAAAAAATAAAGAAAAAAGGAAAACAAGAAACAAATCTAACGGAAGAAGCTGGTACAGCGGGGTAGCCGTGTCGGCAATAAATCTGTCAACAGTGTGAAATATGCATCCGGGGAAACGAGCAAGCCCCGGTGCAATCAGGGCGTAAGCCCGGAACAAATGTACCCCACCAGGCAAGTGTCGGTCGTTATCGGAAAATAGTTTCTGCGGCCTCCGAGTGCCGCGTGTTACCATTTCTCTATAATCTTCGATATTATTTCAATCCACATATCTTAATTCTCAATCCCCGTAACTGGTCCAGCCCCCAGACCATCTCTCATCGTGAACCTCATCACTGTCGCACCAATTTCTCACCTCAATTTTATCACCCGTTTGATTGAAAGGAAATACGTGCAGCCCATTCCAATCAAGACGAATGCAGCATCTGAGAGAGAATTCCTTCCTTTGACGAGCCGTATAATAAGAAGAATACCATTGAATTTATCAAGTGAAGATTTCGCAGCGATACCAACCGAAGAATATTCTCCGCGAAGATGAAAGGATTATTATGTTTGTCATAAATATTGGGGATCTTATGAAAACCCGGATACTGCGTCAATATATAATGAGTTGATATTAATACTTCTGTTGTTACGTAAATATATCATCATCTGTTCGTGAAAACTAATTTGTACGAGATGATAGCCTCCGCAATATTAATTTTGAACGGGCAACTTCATTATCCGAACCTTGTTACATTTTATGTGCTTTCATATTCTTTTTTTTTTACGGACTCTACCAGAAATGGAATACTCCACCGACACGAACAATAATTACTTTCTCGACTTCTACCCCCGGACGACCTTTTCATACTCCACACCGGTGGAAATACAGTTGGAGCACGGTGTGATCTATTATTCCCTAATTTGTTCACCGAGTAAAATTATAAACGCGTTATGCCGGGCATGTTCATGCGGCGTCATTATTCTACGTTTAATGTCATCGCCAGAATGAAATTAAACGGCCCGGTCTGACCTTGAGTGCTTGACCTTGACGGTTAATGTCGAATTATGATGCTTACTGTCGGATGATGTCGGTTTAATGTCGGATCACGGATTAGACGTTGCGACAAGTGATTGAATGAAGTTAGTGGATATTGAGGCACATCCCCCGACATTAAATTTCGTCATCCGACATTAATTTCGTTTACATGGAAAATGCTGGATTATTAAACAGCGCAATTCGATTATGAAGAAGGAGAAAGGGACTCGTTCTCAAAAGATCTCAATTAAAAATTTTTTATGATATCCGAATGATCCGTTATTCACGGACAAATGATTCTCGACTTCATTCAGTGATTAAAGAGTATATGCAGTCCGCCGACATTAAAGAAGATGGCCGTTGGTGGTTTACTAGCGTATTGGATGAATCCCAAATACTCAATAGGTATAAAGGCTTGGAGATGGAAAGGGAGTGACTACAAAAGCGTTTGCGGTCGAATTGTATGTACGTTGGTAGCTGCGATTGAAGCGTCCATGCGTATAAAACGAGAATACCACTAACCGGAACTGTTAGTCTATATCCCTATGGGCTGAATTAGCTTTGCATAATCAAATTGACCGCATCCAACAATACGACAACAATTTCTCGTAGGATGAATGCTTGGGTAAGGAGAGAAGCAAAATATCGGGGGATATTGGGGTCACTCATGCATTTGATTGGAAAACAATGGGTTTTGCTACTGCCACTGGACAATGGGCTATTTTGGCTGGTCTTGGTTGATGCTATTTATAGCTTCGCTGATTGACGGGCTACAACCAAAGGACCATTCAATTACAGTGAAATATAATTATTTTATTGTGATATGCAAGCATTGATTGATAGCTCGCTCGTCGTCAAATGATTTTCAATTAAACGCCGAATGGAAAATTATTTTTCATATGAATCGAAATATTTGGATGGACTCTCTGGATATAAGTCCGGAATGCTACCCACAGAAAATAATGAAATTTTTCTCTGCAAAACGTGGCACGACTGCAATTTTAAAATTCTCGGTAAATGAAAAATGTCATATTTGTTCCAAGGATTTTGCGCGTTTCATTAATTCATAATTGAACCAAATGTGTAGTATATCCCGGCGATGTTCTATTTCTCATAATATTGACGTACCGGCTCCCATATTTCAGATGTTTTATCAATACCTCATTCGAATGTTTTTTTTTTCGTAGGATTGAATAAATGTTTACCAGGCGAACGACGTTTACACGAGCTCGATATTCAAATTATATGTAACTTATGCAGTACAAAATTTGTAATCAATATTTTCCCGGTTTTAATGACGCATTCAGCGGAGAGGGGAAATATGACCTACATGAGAATGCGAGGATTTGCAATAACTGCAGAAAAATAATAATAATTATTGACGAAGCGGAATATTACGCTCACCACTGGAGTAGTTTTCATTCCTATTTTTCCATGAGAGTTTTTTTTTCTCTCTTTTTTTTAGTTATTCAGACACGAAAGAAGTGTATGATACCCGATACGAGCGCTCTTCACGTCAAAGCCCAATGATTGTGTATTTTGTATGCAAAAGCTGAGAGCGATGCATGGAGGAGACAGTGTTATAAGGATGAAGAGTAAGTACCGACGTTTCTGCTGATCGATGGTGCGATAGAATTAATAACTGTATATAGCAACGAGTCGGTACGTGACGACCACCGGGTAGTTGCATATCAGCGATCAACCGGTGTGCACTCGGTTATTTTAATGTGTAGGTGTGGCGACACGAATTGGAAATGGGGATAAGTCCACGAGATTTTCGCACTATTTGCGCGAATCGTGTCGCAGCATTGAAATAATGCTGGAGTTTTTGTATTAAATAAATGTCACCTCCCCCGGCACTTAATGTCGGGTTAATAGAAAAAAATAAAAATGTCGTAATTTTTATTAATTGAATTAATGCTGACAGCCGACATTAATGTTGACCCCGAATATTTGATGTTTCGTTACTCTGAAGGCTCGATGGAAAAATCATGAATGTCGCGGCATCGAAATAATGCTGGTCTCCGACATTAAATTTCATCCTCCCAACATTCAATCTCCGATTAATAGACAAATTCAACATTCAATATTCCCATTATATGGACATATTGAATCAACGCCAACATCCAACATTCAATGTCGTAACCCGACATTAATGTCGCCCCAAAAATTTGACGTAAAAATTAATAAAAAAAAAATTTTTTAATGAATAGATAGATTTAAATTAATAGAAATATAACTCCATTGAGCGATTGATAGCAGAATCTCAATGACAGCTGTTACTCAGCGGTAT